GGCCTGTCACAGGCAGGCCAGGCCTCAAGATCATGGCCTGTGCCTGTCACAGGCAGGCAGGCAGGCCTAGTGGCCTGGTTGATGCTCTGGTATGGAGTATGAAAGACGGTCCAAACGGAGATTACCAACTTGATCAAAGTTATGCACATATTTTCATGACTTATAGTAGTCACTATTGGATTGATAATTTTGGGCATTTCATGTAATTAGATCTAAAATAGGTTATCCATGCTTGACTGTAAATATAAGAGTGGATACTAACAAGATGACTACACGAAATACGAACAGTGGAGCAGATACATTAAAATATACAACAATCAGCACTATAATGGAATACGAAGTATCCAAGCGTTTAAAATTCTTGTGTTTCGATGCCTGTTAAAACATGAGAGATTTTTGTGATAAAGAAAGAAAGAAATACAGCTTTTTCTCGTTCTGTTTGTTTTATATCATATTGTGGCACGTCAGTTACCTATTAGTATCGCCAAAATACAAGACTCTCACCTGCTGAAGCAATGATGCTCGAGTCTTCGAGAGAAAATTCTATTTTCTGCAGAGAAGTTCTCGTGATGTTTGGCTTTTTCTATGGGCTATTTTAGTCGATAACGTTCACGACCTAATCGAAAAGGGCATCTTTGCGACAGCTGTGCGTATTCTGTGATGATTTCTGATAGAAGTAGTGTTATTTCGAACGAAACTAAGTATTATTTTGGTTTTTTATACCAATTATCGACCACATTCTAATACTAAATACTCCTTTGTAATGGAACTAGAACGAAAAAAACACGAGAAGGATATGGATAATACGAAGAGTAATCATGCATAGGTTAATAGACGCTTCGATGTTGTCATGGGATAAGATGAAATAGTTGCGATGGAAGGAAGGGCAAAGTGTGTGTTTAAAAGAAACTTCGAGGGAGTATCAATTGATTTAACTAAGATATCAAAGTAGATAATGGTAGACAATACATTTGGGCGGGAAGATGTGACACATTATAGCCCACTGAAATTATATTAACTACAACAACTCGTTTACAGATATGGTAAATTGATATGTCAAACTCAAAACGCTTTTAATTCGATTAACAGCTCTGTACTTTTACAAGACAAATGTTTTCTTGCAGTAAAATAGTATGATACGAGCTTCAATTAATACTGTCAATTCTCTCTGTCAACTGTAAAAAGATTTTAGACATAGATACTGTTGTATTTAAGTTTCATGTAGATAAATCAACGCCCGCATGATTAATTTGAAATTAAGTTTTAGTAAATCAAGAATCATATTGTTAATATAGGTTTTGACATTTATCATAGCTATAGCAAAAAGTTTCGTTGATGAGTACATCAATTTTCAACTCGAGCAATGATTAAATATCACTAGGTTCCAATTTAGAATTGAAAATATTAATTTTGCTAACGACTGGAGCAGAATAAAAATAGGATAAAATAAGTGATTGAATTCATTTAAAAGCAGATATGCATCGAATATAATTCTCAAGTTGAAACTTCATAGTAGCAAAGAACACCGAACGGATTACAAATAAATGAAGGCTTATCAAATTCCATTGAATAAGTTAATATTGGTAACAAAAGATGAAGTTTTTTAAATGTAATTCTTCCATTAAAAAATACTTTTGAATGTTTAGAAAGCAAATTGGATGACAAACATAATTCAATGAGCTATAGTTGCCACAGCTGTGAAAGATTCAAGCATAAAAAAGTAAACATTACTTAGTGCACAAATCATCGCATCTCGATGAAACAACTGAAATCCCGTGTCATCTGCGACATCTATTTGAACATCACTCGCCAGTCTTTCTGGCACAGAAAACAATAAAAGTAACAGAAGATAATGTTTGTTTTATAATACGCATTTTGGTGAGGTATAGTTATTGCTACCGACTAAAGCAGCATCCGCCATCTATTGTAGCGTATATTTCCATTTCTAGTAACCAGTTACGTTTTTTTCGTCCTTCTTTCCCCTCTCACTATATTTAATACGCATGAATATTGATTGTAAATACCTCGTGATTTCAACGTTGTGCAATCATTGATAAATCAAACACATATGCATGAATAACTTTGCATAGTAGCATTAGAAAAATCGAAATAAGTTCAATGGCTTATATGCAGAATCAACAATACCAACAAAGTGCCGGGCTGCCAGAAATTAATTTGAACGAATACAGTGGTAGAAATGTTGACGATGTGGTTAACGAACTCGAGGCACTGGGTAAATCTCTTGGCGATAAAAGTCATGTCTATTCGCATAAAATAACGCTTCGTTTTTATTTCTATCTAGGCTATCGCACACAAATATTTGATGCAAACCTTTTAATACGAGCACAACCACTACCACAAGTTCCAAATGAAGAAACTTTGCACATCTATGTCAATAAGGATCGCAATACAGTGCAACAGATTACTAGAAAATACTAATGAAACAGTACATACACATTACATAGCTATCGAAATTAAATAAAGCATACTTATGTTTTTCATATTATTCTGAAATAAATAATTTAATCGAATATTTCTACATGACTGCTGTAATTTTACTTGTTTATGGGAGAAAAAGTAGTACAAATACGAACTAACATATCGATCTGAGTGAACTGCTATTTATTCACGACCAGGGCTACCAACTGTACCCCATTTCACCATTTTTGTACCTCATGTAGACTTTTCAGTCTTCGGTACGATTGGCTACACTTCTGATGAAAATAATCTGTTTTCCTCTTGACTTTCCTCATTTTTACAAAGAAATCTATAATAAAATGTATTGATAAACAACTGACAAATAGATATTAGCATCCATTTTGTTTAATTTCGTCTTGAATTATTCGGTTTTACATCCTATTTTCACTATGAATAATAAAATAAAATTCATTGGATTTTTCTCATTTCCCACGGTTTCATTACTTTTTCCTATTAAATTTGACAAATACATATTGTCTAAAAGTTGAATCTAGTTTTAGATTTTCGGTAAAATGGAATTCCAACAAAAAGAATTTCGCCATCTGAATTTCGACAATGTCCAAATTGTAGTAGAATTTGGACATATTTCGAAATTCTACTATAAGTTGGAATTCTTGTGGAATTACGACAGAATGTTTTTTTGCTGGACATTTTATTGTCCATTTTCCATCAGAATTTGGGCAATACGTATTGAAAAAAAATACATGTAGAGGTATATATATATAATTACAAAAGTTTTTATTTATATGAGGGTGTGGGTGTGGATACGACTGTGAGGCTCGATATTTGATTTCCCTATACTCACACCTACATCCTTCTTCTTTTGGATATTATTGATGCTAATTTGAGAAAATAAAATTACAGATAGTTTGCTACAGGACATCCAGCTCTTTTCTAAGTCATTATTTGCTCATTGTTTGTGAAACAAAGAAAGTCACATTCTAACATATATTCTGAATGTAGTTGAGAAATATATTGTCGTATTGCCGGTGGAAATTCGACAATAAAACAAAAATATAAATCATAAAAGCTGTTAGCGCAATCCCTGTGGGATTAAAATGTGAAACTAGATGAAACTTCTTTTCTGGAATTCGCCTATCACGGTCACTGATGGTCTGTGGAGCTTCTCTGTTAAGGTCTGTATTATGATGGATGAAGTCTCCAGAAACCATCACAGACCGTTACAGAGAAATTGAATCACTAATTAATAATTAATTAACCAATTAAGTGATTAATTAATTTCTCTGTAACAGTCTATGGGAGGGGGCGGGGAATGCGTCCAAATTTCCACCCTATATACTTCAAAACTCCTTTCAGATCGTGTTTCACAAAAGCTGTCCAAATTCTGATGAAAAATGGACAAGATAATTCCCAGGAAAACAAAAGGTTGTCGTAATTCCATAAGAATTTTATCAATTGTGGAAATTTGCCAACCTTGTCCGAATTCTAATAGAATTTCGACACATGTTTCAAAATTCCACTAGAGTTTTGACATTGTCGAAATTCCATAGAACCCTTCTAAGCAGTGTTATCACACAAACGTAAACTTTCGCATTAATATTCCTTGTCGACAAGCTTCTCACTATCTGTTCGCAATACCTAGAGCACTCAACGATATTCGTTAATACCATTGAAACACTTCGTAAACTCGAATCACTCTTCATTTATCCTGTTAAACAATCATCACAGGCTATTTGTATTTTCCACATTTAATTGTGTTTATTGTGCAGTTATTCTTTTGTTTTGTTTCACTTCTGCTAGCTTCTCTTCACATTTGTTTCGAAACGGATATAATGAAATCTGTGTAAATCTTTGAATCTGCTGTGACATTGATTTTAAATTCAATTCTATATTCAAGCTAGTATCTCTTGGTGAAGAATATAATGAAATTAAACAAATCTAGGGAAGTGGCTTACAGTATAGACAGTTGAGATACAAGAAATCGATGACCCGTAGTTTTTAGTGATAAATAATAATTTATTCAACAACGTTTACACTAAACCAAAGCACATGCATTAATCATCTCTGTATAGCAGTCAGCAGCCGTTGTTGAGCAAATCGAAGCGTTGTACTCTGTGGTTTGGACTGTCGCTAACATAAAGATTGTGGTGAGCATCAAAGCCGAAATGTTTTGGATACTGAAGACGCTTATTAGAATTACCAGCAAATCCCATGCCTATTCACAAAAACAACAATATTTTAATTGATTCTTTGGGGTTCTAGAGTTTTGCCGACGAGCGTTTCCTCCAAATAGATATTCACCAATGGCAAATATCGGGATTTTATATTGCCAGTCTCAGAATATATAACGCTGTCTTCAATTATCGATCGGATCGAAAAAATTCTCTAATTCATAGGAGTTCTATACAAGTTGCTGACAGTGTATAGAAGTATACTCGGCGTAAATCTTCAATATATGTTGTCGAAACCTCTGGAATCCCATTTATCTTGAATGCGTGAGATTAGGATCAGAGAAGACAAATGTAATTATACGAAATGTAGGATGTAGGCTGTGTGTAGATGATACATGAAAACCAAGGGGGGAAAAGCGCGACTTCCGTACTTCCATCGTACTTCCATGTACTTCCATTCTACTCCCATCGTACTTCGAAGTACGGAAGTCACACTTTCCTCCTTGCGCTCGTCATGTACCCTTGAAATATGTTCATCAACAATTTGACCGTTAAAAAGAATTTTTACCGTTTTGAAAAAATTATTTTCAGTATATTCTTATCAAATTACAGGTTATGGTCACATAAAAACTGAATGAGTACCGTTCCAAAGAAGTATTCAATGTGAACTTTAAAATATTACACAGTGACATTTAGAAGACTGAGGATTTTCGTGTGAATATTACGTGCGAAGTATGTCTTATTCAAAGCTTACCGTTGAAGAAGAATCACCTAACGTCAGATTTGCCGATTATATTCAGCACATTAAGGAAAAGGAGACAAATTGGAGGAACCGGATGCAAAATAAATGGCAGCGTTAATCCAGCTATGGCAACAGAATTGTAGAATCCCAATTTTTTATATATGCTTAATTGTTCTTCGACCGATGGAAAATAGAGAAAAACGGCTAGCAATACATTTTCAAGATATTTCTATCAAATGTTGGAGCACCATTATTTTTCTTTTACTAATTACTGTGTGTACTTTTTGCACAGAAAATACACAGATAAGTATTCACATCTGATCCACTCTTGGATATATACAGAACATCTATACTCTAAAGTGTCATGCTGTTTGAACTATCTAACATGTTATCTTTTGTGAATAATACTTTAGAATAAATGAAATTTATAAACGATATTAGTATTAAATAAGAAGATAAACTTACCTGCAACAGTGCGCATGCCACCTTTATCATTGACTAACTGAACGACTCGGAACTGACCAGAATCAGTCATGTATAGTTGTCCAGATGAATCAAATCCCATTTTCCCACAACTGCCGTAGCCAGTAGAGTCCATGTTGTTTAATAAACCACTTATGATTATGGTGCCTGTTGTAGAACCGAATGAGTACTTCGCCATGATTTTCAGTGCCATGTCTAATACGTAGAAGGAACCTGATGTCTCGTCAACAAGAATTGAGCATGGATGTTCTAACATCAAACCATTGGTTAGTGTGAAAGTACTTTTGGTTATCATTACCATACAATCGTCAGTTATATTCATAATAATAATAAGACTTGGATTCTCATAGCCAGTAATGTAAAACAGCTTGCGCACTCCGTCAAACGCGATAACAATAGAAGAAAGCGTAATATTAGTACCATCTGGGTTGCATTGCTTTACTATGGTACGATTGGGTGAGCCACCTGATATGTTAAGTGGAAACCATACAATACTTAATACAGACGAATCAAATGTGTACAACCGTCCTTTTGACACTACACGAAATGAAGATAGAGATAAGCAAAGTATTTCTGAATAAAAATTAGCGAATATCTCAAACAAAATCTGTGTCAGCGTAACCCTAATTGAACTAAAATGTAGTACTAATACTCCATTACCATCAAAACTGCAAAACAGAGTTTAAGGAGCATACTCTCTATCGAAACAAGAATAGATGTAAGTTAGAAGTGGCACTTTGACTATCTTTTGTCTTTCTAAAAGGAACAGAACGTTTAACTACTTAATTTCTTGTTTTTCGTATTCTAGAATATAATACTACATCTGCTAATTCTTTTAACGAGAAGAAAGTTGTAGTAATTACTTTATTGTTGAGAAACAGGGATGTGGGAAATTAACATAAAATCCTTGATAACGTTGCGTACTGTTTCTCTGTCGATAACAAAATTTATTTCTCACTTGCTACTGTCCACCTTTAGAGAATCGGTATCATTCGGAAAAGTACTTTTACATGTCATAGAGTCATAAATCATTGGATTTAGAATTTAATAATGGCCCCAAATGTGTCATTGTTGTCAAAAAAAACTTAATGGAACAAAACCTGTCACGTAGCTCGAGGAATTTTCAATAAACGCATTTTCAATTTTAGTTACTACACGAGAAGATTTCTTTAATACATATATACCCTATTTCTACATCAAAATAAGTAAATCGTTCCACTATTTTGATGCTACAACTTTCTATGTGGAATGGGTGTGTATAGTAATGCGGGAAAGACTACCATTGGCTGGCATTTACCTCATACAACCCAAATAAGTCAAACCCAATGCCCGCACACTCGAAACCATTTCTGATTGTCTTGGACAAACAAATAGACAAATGTTTTAATATATTCTCAAGAAATACCCTTCCTTTTCTACCACGAAAAATGCTCCTCAACGTATAAAAACGAAATTGAGCCAATAATAAATTAGCGAGCAGAATAGTGTCAATCTGTAAGGAATAAACGATTTTTTATCAATTGTTCTGTGTACAAACATACTTTAGACTTACTTCTAATAAAGACTGACAATTGAAACTAAGTATCTCTTGAAATGGCTAGGCGATATGCATAATCAACGTGAGTTCTGGATCGAATGATTCGCTTAGTCATTAAACAGGTGCATAAGTTCTTTTCTTATCGGGCGAAGGGAGAAGTTCGAGTTCAAGAAGGTAACTCGACCGACATAATAAAACTGAGTCGTAAAAAATGTTCGTCATAATCAACTTCCTTTAGATAAATAATTTTTATGCAAAAATAATTCAGCAAGAAAAGTTTCCCTTTTCTGCGCTCATTCTTTCTCCATTCCCTCTATGGGTGCACACAACATTTTTTGTTGGCTTCGCACGAAAATTATTCTTGCGAGAATCTTTTAGTTTAGTTTAGCATCTGTACAGAATTTAAAAATGATCATCACCTAGCAAACCATGTGGAGATCTGAGTTGATTCGGTTCCGCGTCAGATACTCGAGTGCCCGCAATGCTTCGGCCTTCGGTCGAATTCGTCGGCCAATAAAGAATACGACGATTGAGAAAGTCTAGAATATACAAATTTCCCACGGGATCGACAACAAAATCTTCAGGATAATAAAGTCCACTCAGTGATGAATCAGCTGTACTGTTGAAAAAGCCAGCTACTGTTACACCCTCTCTCTTCCATGTCGCATTAATAGAACAGAGAGGAATACTGGGAACTAGGAATGAACCACATGAAGTAATATTAATTTATAAAACATAAAACGATGTAAGATACCTGGGGGTGTACTTTGTAATGTTGTGACAGTAGGCGTTGCTAAAAAATGACACAATAATGTTAAAACCATGAGAATATAGTAAAGGTTTATAAAATATTCTACTTAATGGACAAGTCTCACAACAAAATTTAGTTATTTTAATTCCAGTTAACTGAGCTTCCCCTTTGTGTAGTCGCATGCATCTTCACGATGACCAGCATTATTATTCTTAATTTGTGTGCACATTAGATATTGATAAGTCTTCGTCTAATATAGAAAGTATAATATTTATCTAATTTGCACTAAATTCATCTTGCGTACTGGCTATCATCTTAAACAACATTCTATCTTCAGTCAAATGTTGAACGATTTGCTGAATTCGTAAATGTTGATAAAAAAATAGGTTTGAATTATTATTCCTGGAAAAAATTAAGAATATTTGCAACTCTTTTTTGAGTCGTTTCAAAACTATATTTTCACTTACATGCATTAAAAGCATTCACCGAAAATATAACCGACAGAGATAAAGAAAATCAAGAAGATTGGCATAAAAATTATGATGCTAAGTGATCATGATAATGATAGGCATTTCTTTATATCAAAATATTTATACCAGATACACATACAGAATATTCTAGAAATCAATCGGCATGAAACATACAAATAGCTTTCTCATAGATCGAGTGATTTGGATAAATTTTCTATCATTTAATTTTTTTTTTCTTCAAAGTTTCTTCAGCATAATGGTTTTGTTTTAGGGTTTAATTGAAGTTACTTATGATTGTGAAACGAAATTTATCAGCTGAATTCGATGCAACAATAACAAACGATGGTAGTATTAACGATGTCTCTGCACAGTTATAAGAGACTAATACTTTAGCAAATAAACCACACTTATAGATGTTTTACTGTATTGAGAGAAAAAAAAGTCGAAGAAATTGTTGGTTATTAGCGACAGTGTATCAGCATCAAGTATTCTAGCTTTCACACGTGGTTTCCAAATAGATTTCTCATTTGTAACAGAATGCAGTAAATAACTGTAGAAAACGATTATTTTATTCTATTGCCAAGATGAGAGAAAGAATTCAAAAAGTTACTTCGAAGTCCATCAATGCTTCTATGTTTTGACTTATTAATTGACGACAAATACGTTTTGCTTGCAGGTCCTTGCTACTAAACCGAGAATATGCCTGGCCGGTTAAATATTTAATTATGATATGCGCTCATTTTTGTACATAAGCAAAAAATGCATTGAATTTCACAATTTCAACTGTACTAAAAAGTTTGAAAATCCTTTTGACAAGTTTGCCGCTATATGATGTATCGCTTATTAATAATTTTATTTCACAAAAATGTAGCGACATTATCAGTAGATAGATCACGCTCAGAATGGCTTTTCGACTGTATGTAGCAGAGCATCAACCAGGCCGTGTTTTTGTAGGCCTGGCCGGTCCGTGACAGGCCTTTGCATTTCAAGCCTGCCTGTGCCTGTCAACTAATTTGGTCGGCCTGGCCTGCCTGCCTGTCATT